CCATTGCCTGACCAGGAAGGACCGTACAGAACTGCTCACATCCACTCCCTGAGCCACAGTCCCCCTGGGTTTTTCTCACCCCATTCCATGACATCGCCATCTGTCTGGCTGCTCCCAACTCTGCACTGGGGCCACTCCTGACACCCACCTCCAGGAGCTGAGGCCACCCCAGACACGCCCACACTGCCCCCTCCCCATCTCTGCTGCCATCTGCTCTCGTCTGGCTGCTGAGCCAAACCCACCACTTCCGGTGGACTCCAACTTGGGGAAAGGCTGCAGGACAGAGTGGACTGTCGCTGTGCACTAGGATTTCCAAGGCTGTGACTCTTTACAGAAGAGACTGCTTCCGCTTTACCCCACAGGGCAGCTGATGGGCTTGACCTGCTAACCAAAAAGTCGGCCAAATGACATAACCACTGAGCCACCAGGGCCCCTCTGGGTGCTGGAGCAGTCCCCCGACTGGTCTGCCCTTCCGTCTCTCCACTCTGTCCTTCGAAGCTGGAGTGAGTTTATAATGTAAGCTGGGTTGAAGCCCTCATCTGAGAAATTCTTCTCATGCCTTCCATAAATAAACCTGGAGCTCCTGCCCAGGGCCGCCCTCTTATCACCTGCCTCCGCACCTGTTACCCACGAGCCCCACCCACTCGAGCCTGCTGTCCCATCCTGGGCCCAAGCTTGGCCCCACGTCGGGTTTCTCTCTGTTAATACTCTCTCTGCCTCCATCTTCGGAGCCCTCGTGTTCCTGCCACCCAGTCTTAGCACAGACCCCTAAGGCCACCTCTCTTCCATCTCCACCTGTCTTTGTTTCTGTGTCTATCTGTCCTCCCCACCTCCACTCCCACAGTAATGTAATGCCTCAGTAGCAGAGGCCTTGGAAGTCATTCCTTATGGAAGCAATGCTAGGCATGGACATTCCCACAGGTCATAGGACACAGTACCAGGTGCCATGGAGTTCATGTCAGGTCCTGGTCACCCCACAGATGTCCGAGTAGAAGTGTGCTTCATGGGGTTTTCATTGGCTTTTATTTTTATTAAGCCTACTGCCACACTTTTCTTCCTGTGTGCCTCTGGACAGACTGTAATTGCTGTGTTTTTACTTGGGTGGCGTCAAGTTGACGGTGGCTCGTAGTGGCACTATAAACAGTAGAAATCCTGCCCTATCTTGTACCTTCGCCGTGATCTCTGCCATATTCATTGTCATGGTCACTGTGTCAGTCCAGCTCCGTAAGAGTCTCTTTTCATCCACGGACCTAACACCTTGCCCAGCATGAGGCAGGTTTCCAAAGACTGACCTCTCTGACAGCATGCCCAGGAGGTGTGAGGTGAAGTTTCACTGTCTGTCCTGGCCTCTAAGGAACACCCTGGTTAGATGTGTTTTTTCTCTTGGTAGTCCATAGATATTCGGCACTCTTCTCCAAACACCACAACTTAAAGGCTCCCATTCTTCCTTGTCCCCCCCTTTACTATGAATTGCCATACAGATGTGGAAATTAACTGAGTTCACACTTAGGATCTGTAGCTGACATATGTGATATGTACATATGTTGTTGTTGCTTGCCATCGAGTCACATGACTCATAGTGACCCTATGAACAAAAGGCCTGAAGCCTTTCTATAACTATCGTCATTCATCAAAGTTCATAGAGTTTCCAGAGGCATGTTTAGGAAGCGAAGGGGCCTTTTTCCATCAAGTTTAGAACTCTTCACAGTACTCTTTATCTGATCTACCAGCTATCTAAGTGGATTGTTGTTTAAAAAACAACACAAACAATAACAGTGATGTTTACTGGTAGGCAGGTTCTGACTCCTGGGACCCCGAGTGTGTCTGGATAGTGCTGTTTTTGAGAGGGATTTTTTTTTTTTTGGTTGTTACTTTTGGGTGCAAATGGCTAGGACTTTTCTCTGAATCAACTCTGGGTGGATTTGAACCTGCTAACTTTTGATGAGCACCTGTGCACATTAACATTTCCCACTACCTTGAAACTGAACAAATTGTGGGGTCCAGGGCAATTGCTAGTCAAGAAATATTTTAGGAAACCCCAGTTCTCACAGTTGATGATAAAGCTGGTAGCTTTCTTGACACTTGTGTTTCCACCTTCCTGTTTGATCTTCTTCCCTTAAAGGATGGTTTTTCTTATCCCTCACCTCCCCACTGAATCTTCTACATGCTCTGCCCATCCTCCGTGCTCTCCCTTCTCTTTCCAAACATGTGCTCAGGAAAGGCTCTGAAGAACTCCCTCACACTGGGTGTGCTTTGTAAACAGAAAGGTGTGGGATGATGGTGGGGCTTTGGTGTCCGGGGCAGGTGAGGACAGGGCTGCTGGGGCTGGGTGCAGGCAGGGCTGATGCAGGAATGCCTGTTCCTTAGGCTAAGTTCCTCCCAAGTAACTGGAGTAACCTGGAGGCAGCTGCGGGGCTGGACTCTCCTGTCATATCCTGGAGGTGGCTCCAGCTTTGTGGGGAGCTCAGAGAGAAGCTGAGAAGGATGGACCGTGCGCCAGCTAAACAGTATTCACCCCTCACCCCCCAGCATATGCCCTCACCCCCCAGCATACGCCCTCCCCCTTGGCCAGTCTCTCTGTGCTCTTGAAAGTGACTGTGACAGTGAGCTCAAGTGTGTTGGGTATGATAAAGATGATGTCGAATAGGCTAGAGTTCAGATCTGTTGTTCATAAGGTTGTTAGGGTCACACATGCCTCAATGGCACCTAACGGCAATGACCCAGACATAGTTGGGAAGGAAGTATAGCCGGGATGTTCCTTGGAGGCAAAGATGGTGATGTTTCACCTCACATACTGTGGGCATGTACCCAGGAGGGGGCAGTCCTTGGGAAAGACATCTTACTGGGAAAGGTGGGAGGGTTGGAGAAAGAGCATCGCCTCAATGACATGGAGTGGCGCAGTAACTATATCAATGCGCCCAGGACTGCATTGTGTGAAGAGTCTTTGTGTCTCAGGGTGAAGAGGGGAGGCAGATGGGCAGGGACTAGAAAGCATTCATTCAGCCTTTGCACCAGATCCCTCAGGGGAGAGGGACTCATCATCACCACACACCTGCTGAGGCACAAGGACCTGCTTGCTTCCAGAAAGACTGTGGGGGCCCCAGTCCCTATTCTGAACCTTGTTGTTGACAGTCTGCTTTTTGATTCTGCTGGTTCAGAGTGAGGTTGGTTTTCAGGCTCTGGACTATATGAGTAGGAATCCCTGGAAGAAAAACTTAAACCCCAATGAATCTACTGATGTAGAGTCCATTCTGAATCATTGTGACCCCTTTCTTCCCCCAGAGAACAGCTTGTGGATTTGAACTACTGGCCTTCCTGTTAGCAGCTGGATAGGCTACAAACTACTGCTGACCTCGAGATTGGCAGTTAAACACACCCAGAAATACTTTGGAAGAAAGGCCTGGTGATCCTTCCAGGAAAAATGAGAATGAAAAGCAGTGGATCACAGCTCTGTGCTGACAGTTGGGGTTTGCTTTCATTTTAAAATCATGGTTTTTGAGGAGTGTGGTCAGCAATCTCCCCACGCCTGCTCAGAAATGACTGGTCTTGGGTATAAATGTGAAGCTGGGTGGTCTGCAATATTGGATTGAATCCCCGAGGGCCAGCGCCCCGTGGAAGGAGACAAATGAGCTGGGTGTCCAGGCCAGAGTGAAAAGGAGATGTGTTCAATACCTTTTAAGATTGAGGACTCAGTCACTTACTTCATCAGCCAAGGAAACATTTCCATTTTCTTAATTCCCTGCCTTAAAGGGCTCGGTCAAGTACATTTAAATGGGGAGACTGTCTCTGCGGATCTGGGGGCCTGTGTGTGTGGTTCTTCCCACTGCAGTAGCCACTGCTGGATGTTTTCTGCAGCCCCTACCTTATGCTGTTGCTGCCAAGATATATCTTTTATAATAAACCCAGGGTCCAGGTGCTTCGCAAGTCTGGGGGGTGTGACACCCTCACTGTGACTCATTTCTGTGGCTCATTGCAGTGATGGAGCCTCATGGGAGCACCTGGACCCCAGCCCAAACCCTGACATGTTGTGGAGCTGGGCTTTGTCCTTTGGCTCTGCCCTCTTGCCTTGTGTGACCATTGGTGTGGTCAGTGGTATGTCTGAGTCCATTGTTTCAGTCACTGTGTCATCCTCATATTATTGAGAGCTTCCCTTGCATTTGCTAGTCTGCTGCCTTCCAGGCGTGATGTCCTTGTCTAGGGGTCGGTCTTTACTGATGAAGTGTCCGAGGTGAGCCAGTTAGCCTGGCCATCTACTCCTCTAAAAACGTGCCAACTGCACTTGTTTGAAAACCAAGTTGTTAACTTTCCTGACATTTCATGGTATATGCAGTATTCTTTGGCAATTTAAATGCATTAGTTATTCTTTGAGTTTCCTTTTTAAATTTTCCAACTTTCCCGTGCATGTAAGTCTGTTTGAAAAGATGATGGCTTGGGTGAGGTGCACCTTACTCTTCAAAGTGACATCTTTGCTTTCTAATCCTTTAAGAGGGACTTTTGCTGCAGGCTTGTCCAGTGCATGACATCATTTGATTTCTCAAGGGCAGCTTCCAAGGGTGGTGAGAGTTGACCCAAGTAGAATGAACCCCGACAGCGTAATTTTCCTCCCAGGTCCCCCCACACATCCAGGGGTGTGACGGAGGTCCTTTATCCCTCCCGATCCAGCCAATCTCTCTTGGAGGTTGATCTCTCCTCACGTTGATTGACCAAGTGAGAGTCACATTCCCAAATACAGTTCAACCTCTGAGGCTAGGGATGTGAGACTGGGAAGAAGAAGGGAGGGAACAGTGAGTCACGCTCTACCTGGAATGGGAATGGACTAACCCATGACATCCATGGACTGAGTGAGGGGAGATTTGAGAAGAGGATCTCGGGAAGTGGTAGAGGCTGGCTGGGGACAGATGTCCACTGTGATCTTGTACACCCTGTGATGAGTCTCCCTCTCTTGTCCTTTCTCTTTACAGCGCAAAGTAGAACATGGTCGGCTTACCCACGTGCTCACGTTAGTGACTAAGGAACGTGATTTGGCTGTGAAGGAGAAGCGCCAGCTCCAAGCCAAGCTGGAGAACCTAGAACAGGTGTTGAAGGTAGGACAGTACTGTCTGGGCTCTGCCAGCCATTCTTGGGGTCAGCTCAAGGAGGGGCTGCGGTCCAGTGTGGAAAGTGGCAAAAACCCTTTGTTGATGCCATCACCAAAATCCTGGGCTCTGGGGACCGTGTGTACCCTTTATGCTGCAGAGGGCAATAAATAATGGGATCCGATTGTGTCTGGAGGTGAGCCTGTAAAACCAATTATGCATTTCCATCTCCTAGGATGTTAAACACAGCTGAGCAGCGGAGGTGAGACAGCGTCCTGAATGGAAATGGAGCTTACTTGAGTTACAGACTGGGGCTATTGTAGTGGTTTCTCCAACTGCATGAATTTTAAGTCGTTCTCAGATGTTTAACGACCTTTGTTATAAAGAGAATAGCAAACTCAGAAAATTGCTTTATCAGGGAGCAGGTAATTGGATACCCCTCATGCATTTCTGATGAGCTGGGATCCCTGTCAATATTTAATGGTGGGCTGACTTCTTACTAGTGTCATTGAGTTGAGCAGAATGAATTTGTTAGCTTTCTTGTTTTTCAGTGCAAGTTATGTTTTAATGGATTCTCATTGGGGAAGTTTTATAAAATGAGCAAAACCAGCATCATGTCTGGTTCTACCACAAGTACACACATTACTTTCATCACATACATTTCATGACTAAGAAAAACAGTAATATGTCACACTTGCTGATGGTTTGTTGTTGTTGTGTTTTTTAAATTCCATGGAGGCAGTTGTTAAGACAGCAAATAGTACATTTAATTGGGCACATCTTCTGCCAAGGGCCTCTTTAAAGTGCTAAAGAGAAAGAATATACTCTGAAGACTGAGGTGTGCCTGACCCGCACTGTGGTATTTTCAGTTGCTTCATATGCATGTAAAAGTTAGACAATGAGAACCAAGGAAGAACTGAAGCCTTGGAATTGTGGTGCTAGTGAAGAGTATGGAATAGACCCTGGACTGCCCAAAAGCACATACTTTTCCTTGGAAGAAGGGTAACCAGAATCCGTTTTAGAGTGAGGATGGTGAAAGTTTGTCTTGTGTACTTTGGGCACATTATCAAGAGGGATCAGTCCCTGGACAAGGATAGCATGCTTGGGAAATAGAGGGTCAGCAAAAGAGAGGAAGGTCCTGAGTGAGATAGAGTGGCACAGTGTCTGCCCCAAGGCTCTCTCACACAGTAGAGGCTGTGAGGATGGTGCAGGACCAGGCGGGGCTTAGTTCTGTTGTACATTGGAGTCATTATGCATTGGAGTAGAGGACACCCAACAACAACAATATAGTAAGTATATCAGTGGCATTGCTGAAACTTTGAGGGGTCACTGACTCAAATACCCAGCAGATGATAGAAGTAAGTGTGAGAAGCACATTTTATTTGCTTATTACTACCTTCCAAAAAGATTTCTATTTTCTCCAATTTTTCTTGAAGACCATAGCACCTCTGCCTATCTTTAGTTTTGTCGCTTCAGGTAACTATTTCTTTATTATAATAAAAAAAGCATGGCAAACCTTAGAATCAGCGAGTGGTGGAGTCTGTGACAAACTCCATTGCCTTATAAATCTACATCCCTAAATTTCCATGCTCTGTCAGAATACAAGTAATGCTCAGCTCTGGAAAGTCTAAAACCTTCTAGTTCATTCTTTCATAAAGATGTCTTCTGCTCCTGCTAGTCTCATGAGGGACCTGGTGGCGGAGTCTTTAGGGAGTTGTACTGCTGACTCAAAGATGGTACCTCTGGTGGTTACCAGGAGAAAGATGGGCAGTCTCCTCCCGCGTGGCTTACGCCTTTGGAAACTTGATGGAAGGTCAGCCACGAGTCGGTTCTTCCTCACTGGTGATGAGTTGACCACTATGCTAGAGTAACTTCAAAGCAGAGTTTAGATTTTTGGTTTGGGACAATGCAACAGTGAGCAAACTTAGACCCTGGGAGTCTATGTTTTAAAGGGAGACAAAAAAGAAAAACAAAACCTAGTTGTGGTCCAGTTGACCTTGACTCACGGTGACCCCATTGTGTGTTCACAGTAGAACTGTGAGCTCCTCAGTGTTGTCAGAGGCTAATTGTGGAGAAGTAGATCACCAGGACCTTTATTCTGGGCATCTCTGGGGCAAACATTTAATGAATACTCAAAACATAACCACACCACAGCCCAGCCACTGTCACTAAGTTTATACCAACTCATGGGAACCCCTGTAGGGTGGGGCAGAACAGTTCCATAGGATGTAGTTTTAATGCAGGATGGACATAGTCTTATGTAGGATGTATATAGTCCTATGAAAGACGTAGTCTTATGTAGGATGTAATCTTCAAGAAAACAGACTGCTGCACTTTCTCTCACAGAGCATCTGGGGTGTGTGAACCCCCCAACCTTTCAGTTGACAGCTGAGTTCATTAACTACTACACTACCATGACTTCACATAATGAATGGTAACCCTAGAGTAAACAAAGGGAGCTCTAGTGGCCTAGTGGTAAGAAGCTGCATTGCAATCCTGAAGGCACATGGTTCAAATCCACCTGCTGCTCTGCAGGAGAAAGATGAACATTTTCCTCTCATGTGATTAAGCTGCCTCTGAAAAGCCACTGGAGGGTCAGCTGTGGGTTGATTCTGACTCAAAAGCACCCGACGACAATAACAGAGCAAACTTACTGATGTCAGCATTAAATGTGGTCACTACAAATCATTTTGAATGTTGTGCTTCTCCTGGTTCTCACAGCATCCTTGGGGATTGGAGTTCTTTCTCTCCATTGCATAGACAAGGAGTAGAGGCTCAGAGAGGACATAGCTCATTCAAAGCATACAGCCTGAGAGGACAGTACTGACAGTTGGATGCAGGTCTGGCCAACCACGTCCTCATGCTTCCAGAGAATGGTCCTCATTGTGGTGTGCAGTGTGGACGCTACTCACAGATTATCACTGTCTAGTTGATTCCCACTTGTGGCAACCCCGCGGATATTCAGATTGAACTGCTCTTCCCTCCACCAGAGAATTTTTTGGTGGCTGCTGTTTCGAAGCTACAATCCTGGACATTTCTTCTGAGGGGCCACTGTCAAACACTAGTGTTCTGGTTCACAGCCAGGAGCCTCACCGTTCGTGCCATACACAGATTCTTTAGACGGAGGAACTTGGGTGAAGTATATTTCCCTCAGCCTCTTGTTCATGTTCCTGCTCGCTGTGTGGATGGCATGGGGAGTCTCATGGCATTTGAAAACAAGGCAGCTCTCAGTGGTGGCTCCTCTTCCTGTTTTTGAAGATTCTTTGGCAGATGGCTGCATTCACTCTCCAGGTGCTGACGAAAGGGTGCTTGGGCACGAAGGCGTCTGTATTTCCACTGTGCAGGCACATCCCACTAATGTGACATTAAATGTGTTACTGTTGACTCCTGAAAGGGGAATTGTGTTGCCTGTAATCAGTTCGCTCAGGCAAGACCACGTCCAAGGCAGAAGACCAAGCCAACTTTGATCTAACATTAGGAGATAATTCAATCTGTTGCACGTTCATTCACTCCTCATCACACCATGTCTTCCTGGAGAAGTGATGTCTTGGCATTTGTGGGGTACTTAAGTGCTGGTGTTAATGTCAGCATCTGGCTATAAATATCCCTTCTTTAAAAATAAAACAGCTACTGGCAAAAAACCTTTTAGACAGAAAATTCTTGCATAATCCTTACTGCTTTTCTGATAGGAGATCGTCTCCTGGAACGTGTCATGTTCCCCTAGATTTAGAAAGATGATAAGAGGATAGAGTATGGTAGATGCATGATGGGAGGAGAGATAGATAGGTGAGTAGATGGATGGATGGAGTATAGATTAATGGAGGGACAGATGGTATAGATTAATGGATGGATGGTGTTACATGAATGGATGGGTGCATAATAGATAAGGCTGACTGGCTGGATAATGTTTAGAAGGGGTGATAAACGGAGAGATGGATGGATATGTGATAGATAGGTGGATGAATGAAAGATATATGGATGAAAGTTGGATTGATGAGGAATGAGGGATATAAATAGATGTGTAGATGAAGAGATAGATGAATGGATGAATAGATGGATTAATGGATGATGTTGGGTGAGAGATGGGGAGATGGGTGATGGACAGGTGAGGATGGATGGATGGATGGATGATGGGTGATTGATGGATGATAGATATATTGATGAATGATGATTAAATAGGTGATGAAGAGATCAATAGGTGGATTGACTAATGATGACTAAATGATAGATGAATTCATGGTTATATGGACAGAGAGTTGAAGAGATAGGTGAATACATGTCTATCTGGGTGATAGATAATGGGTAGATTAAAGACAGGTGGCATATCACTAGAGCTATAGTAGGTAGATGGATGGTGGATGGGTGGTGGATCGATGATATATGGATGCACATCATGCAGTGAGCTGACGGTGATTCATGAACAACAGAGTGGCATGGTGCACAGTCATATTCAAGTCCACAGCTTTGGCTTTTGTGCCAATCCATCTCACCAACCATCTCCCTCAATAGCACTGACCCTCCTCTTCACTAAACGCAAAGTCTTCTTCCGAACCTGCCTAATGATACAGCCAAAGCGACTAAGCCAGTGTTCTGTTGAGATTCATATCATTTTCACTGGTGGATTTTTGGAAGATTTCCAGGCCATTCCCTCCAGTCTCTCTTAGTCTGGAATCTCTGCTGAACCCTATTCACCATGGGTGACCCTGCTGGTATTTGAAATCACTGTGACACAGCTTCCAGCATGACAGTGACACTCAAGCCACTGCAGTATGATGCAGGGACAAATGGGATGGGGTGTTAGGAATGTGGAGATAGATAATGAATGTGGAATTGTGGAACCAAGGTCCCCCTTAGGAAGGACTATCAATGAAGCAGTGATGGTTCAGCGTTTACAGATCAAGCAGGGATGGGCAATCCAGGAAAAAAAGAGCAAAAAGACTGATAGCGGAGGTCAAGGGAAGAAGTCCAGACCAAACATGTAGCTCCAGGGACCAAGAAAGGAGAGTTTC